TTTATAATGTACTGCTGGCATGGCAAGTGAGTTGTCAACCGGATGTGGGCCAGGTCTCGCAATGTTACTGTTTTTAAGATGGTTTATGCATCATCTGGGCCACCAAAGGGCCATCAGTGTTTGCTGTATCTGGGCCAAGCATACTGTGTGGGCCAGACCTCGGTCAGACTAATTTTACTGCGTGTAACTTTATTTACTGGACTTTTCTTGCCCACTGAAATGAATGAATGAAAGTGAACCAGTCCTTGAGAAACATTGTGTTTTTTAAAAAATCTACTTCATTATACGTGCTTCATTATTAGATTTTAGCTACTGATTTGCTAGTTTTTAATTTTAGCTGCTGTTTTTTCTGTAGCTTTTGGCTAATGTTTTGCAGTTTCTTGCTTTTAACTACTGTTAACTAATTCAGCTGCTGTTTTAATATGTTTGACTTTTAGCTACTGTTTCACAAATTAGAGCTTTTGTCTTTCAAACTTTAGCTTTTTTCTGATGATCAGTTTTAGCTTCTTGTAAGTTATTCAGCATGCACATTGTATTTTCACAGAAAATGCAGGTTTTTCGTATTTACTGAAGTCTGTTGTTGTTCTTTTCCAAATGTGACAATAATTAAATCTCTCTGATGTTTTGTTTGTTTGTTTGTGTGACGTGACAGGCCCGTACTGCAGCCGAAACTGGGATGGTTGGTTGTGCTGGGAGGACACTCCATCTGGAACGTTCACATCGCAAAACTGCCCCAACTATTTTGATGACTTTGACCCCACAGGTGAGTCAGCGGGCCTCGATAACGCTCTCCTGTTTTGAGGACCTGCTCATTTATGATATGTTGCATATTTTGCTACTTTTCAGAGAGGGCAACTAAATATTGTGGAGAGGACGGGCAGTGGTTTCGCCACCCAGACACCAACAGGACCTGGTCCAACTACACACTCTGCAATGAAAACACCAAGGCCAAGCTGAGGGTAATTTATATACGAGTCCAACCGTCATCAATCTGCTGCAAACTGAGATAAATCACTGTTTTGTTCCGTGTGTCTCCAGTCTTTCAGCTGTGGGCAGGAAATTTCAACATTTCAAGTCATTCATATCTGCTGCTGTTGCTCTCAGACTGAAAGGACACTGATTCTGTGATATTTCCATAAAAATGTAAAGTAGTCAAGTGTTCCTGGCTCATACTGAGCTGTGTGCTTATCTCTCAGACAGAGCAGCCAGGAGGAACAGGTTGTGTTTGTCCAGACAAACACATCTTGCATTTATTGGAACAAAACAACCAAACGATTCAAAGCTGCTTTTTCTATCCCTTGGGTTTTACAGTCAGAGTCTCTCTGCTGTCACACCTGTAAGTCATATTTGATTGTGATAAAATAAGTTTAGTGCTGAGGCTGTTGGTTAGAGAACTACAGAGGTGAGGCAGCAAACAGATCAGAAGGAAACACAAAAACAGATGGAGATGCGCCTGAAAYAAATCAGATGTTAAAACCAAAGGAACATGAGTTAAATGTCCAGGAATGTAGGCAGAAACAACAACCTCAAATAAATAACTGGAAACTRAACCATGGTATTATTAGTATTGTCTGTTTGCTTTGTTTTAATCTACAGTTTGTTCGTATATGCAACATTTTCACTTTATGCTTTTTATGTTTTTGCAGTTTTCTGTTTTTCATTTAAATGACTTATCTACAGAAATGGTTCCCAAGTTTTTTAAATTTTGACCCAGAAAATAAGAGCAGCAGAAACCTGTGCCCCCAACTATTCTTGGGTGATAAGTTAACAAACAAAGCAAAGTAACAATATTATTTATGCTACTTTTGTCCATTTATAAATACAGTTACCTCACTATTTTGTAACAAATAAAACAAAAATAATTGTTGATTGTAGCTATTTTTAAATGTAATTAATCCTAAAAATTTTAAGACTCCAGCTTTGGGAATCACTGATTTACAGTATAAATGTCTGGAATAATTTAACTAAATAAAATTATTAATTCCAAAAATGTATTTATAAGATCAAAATTACAGTTATCTGTAATAAAATAAGTTACCTCTTTTATTCAGATAAAGCAGCTTTGTCAAACTAATTTTCACTGAGGGCCATATGAMCATCCTGGTGGCCCTCAAAGGGCCAGTTGTAATAAACTTCAAATTAATCACATTCCTCATCTCATTGCTTCAACAGAGCACCACCAACAAACAATAATTGAGCTCTACCTGGTATTTTCCTGGATAGAAACAGTGTTTTACCACGTTCTCTCATAAACACTGACTAAATGTCAAATAAATAATACAAAAATACTATTAAAAGTAAAAACAAGAGTTTTACTCACTGTTGAGTTGTTAAATTCTGAACTCTCCCACTTTCTCACTGGGAATTCCCACCAAAGCGAACATTTCAACTTAGATTTATGACTTGCTAGTGGGAAATTCCCACTTTGAAGTACACAAACAGCTAAATGGAGATTTCAATATCACCTTGTGCGCCACCAGCTAGTGGTGGGCTGCCGTTGTTCCAACATGCATTATGGGAAATGTAGTTTGTGGTCAATACAAGCTTTAAAGCAGCCTGCGCTCATTTTAGGACATTAATACACTTTTTAAGTTCTCCCGGGCCATATAAAATGTCGTGGTGAGCCACATTTGGCCCACAGACCTTATATTTGACACATGTGAGATAAAGGAAGGAGATATGATCTTAGATGATGTATTTAGATCTTATTTTGCACAATACATCAGGTGTTTTGAGTCATTATCCTAAAATAATGGATCAGCAACAACAGTCCATCTGTGCAATAAAAACACTTTTGAAGAGATGTCCCTTCACATAATATTAATTATTTTTTATCTTTGTTTCTTCCTGACAGTCAGCCTACATCCTGTTTTACATGACAATAGTGGGTCACGCTTTATCCATCGCCTCCCTGCTCATCTCTCTGGCCATCTTCTTCTACTTCAGGTAACGAACCCACTCTCATGTTCCTGCATTTCTGATGAATCGCCTCCTGGTCTTATCTCTGAAGGCAGTCATCCTCACAAACAGAAGCAGATCTGACAGCAGCACAGATGGTGCTGCTGCTGTTACAGCAAAGACAAAACTGATTTAATACTCAGRATATTTTTCACCATGTTCCAGAGTTAGAGTTTTAATAAACACTCGCCTCAGAGCCACACAGAGGATCTTTAATAATGAAATGTGTGAATGTGCAAACATTTAATATCATTTAAAGCTGCAGGATTCAAAGACAGCTGCCGTATCAAAGAAAATAATAACGGCCTGAAAATGGGTCGGCCTTCTRTTGCAGCTCATCTTATTTACGATTGTACATAAATTGTGAAAGATTTTAAATGTCCTCTGAGTACAATAAAGAGTCATWCAGTCTCTTGCTTATTGTGGATTCATATGGAGACCAGATTCTTTTTTACACAAAGGAAAAAGTTCACAATTAAATAAAAAATGTCAGCCAAAACTGTGCAACATAAAAGTAAGGTATTAAAAATTAAACAGCTGTAATAGATATAATATCATAGAATACAGTTTATTTAAACATACGTTTATTTTGTTTTAAATATATTTCTGGCAACTTAAATGCATTTTTTTATTGGTAGAATAAGATTTGGTTTGATGGACAGAGACATCTTTACGAATATGAAAATACAAGATCACAAAAACTTGTTTGTGTGTTTTATTAAAGTCACGTTGCTGGTTGTGAAATTGGTGATTGTCGCGGTTGTAAATTGGAAGTTTACTGAAGGCTTCAGACCCCCTGAATGCAGCTGTTGTCCAGAACGGAGCCCGTAAGAGATCGTTAGTCAGCTGCAAACTTTTATCCCCGCCCATAAATCAAGAGGCTGCGCTCGGTGCAGGTGCAGAACCCCAAAACGCTGGGACCCTCCGAGAGTCAGACTCAGCCACACACAATTAGGCCAGGGACAAAGAAAATTACTCTTTTTTTTACGTGGAACATATTTGTGGGCAAAACACTTGAAGACTTCATCTTTTATTATGAAATCCAGARGTGAAGATGTCAGTGTGATGGTGAGCAGCTGCATCTTGGTTATATTGAACAGCTCAACATCGTCAGTAACATCAAATTTTAAAAATGTGTTGTAACATAATATGTGAAAATACATCAAACAGCTTTAATGTTTTCATTCAGGTCTTCATTTTATATTTTGTTTCATGTTTGTAGGAACTATGGTCACAAAACTGTACTCTTATAAATAAATATATGAAATGGTCAAAATGCTACTGAATTAAAATCAGCTTTGGATCTTTCATGAACATTTTTTTTTGATTGCTGTTTAAACATTGTTTTACAAATTTTGCTGCTAACAAACTATTAGTCTAAATCTTTTGATCTATAGTTATTTAGTTGGTTTATGTCACCTGTTATGCTTTTTATTACACTTAGGCTTGACGGGCCAGTAAAGTGATTAAAAAAACACCCTTTAAGTTTTATTTAACCGTACCTCTCATATTTAGATTGGAGGCCATCAAGAGATGATCCAGTTCAACCAGAGTCTTAAACAGTAATAAATACAGTAAAACACTGGCTCAAAGAATTTTTAATGTTTTTTAATGTAACAAATTGTTCTGGTCTGTCATTCATAATGTCTTCACAGGAGTCTGAGCTGTCAGAGAATAACTCTACACAAGAACCTCTTCTGCTCTTACGTGCTCAACTCTGCTCTCACCATCATCTATCTGGTCACCGTGGTCAACAACCCCAAAGTGGTGGCCAGAAACCCAGTGAGTAAATATTTACTACCAACAACACTGTTTCAGTGGATTTTTATTATTTTATTTATTTATTTTGTCCCCTTATGGTAGTTCTCTCCAATTCATTACAATATCAGAGTTTTAATTTAAATTTAAAAAGTCAATCTGGGGAAAAAGTACTTTATTTTTCAGGAAATTTATCTGTTTAATGATTAAAAATGGGGAAAAAATCTACAAACAAAAACATTTTTATTATCATGACAGGTTTGAAATCAGTTTTGGTAAGATACTAAACAAGCAACAAAAATACTTTTGAAACACATTTAGGAAAAGTTTATGGATATATTTGTAATATACGCTAATTCGAAAATTAAGCAATAGAAGAATAATAAAATAAATTTGTTGACAGAATTAGTCAAAAATCCCACTTTTCACTAGCATAAAGCAGAGGTAAGTAAAATATGATTAAAATTTTACAGTTTGTGAGTAATAAATCACTTAAAATATCATATTCCGAAGCTTTTGTTTAGCAGTTTTCTAGTTAAGTTCTCGGCTCTTGGAGATTTGCAGCCTCAATGAATGCAGATGTGAAGCGTTTGAAACTCTGTCTGTTTAGGCAGAGGTAATAAATCTGTCATGGAGGAATGCCTTGCTATCAGAACCCAACATAAATTTTAATGTTATTCCTCAGGAATCAAAATGATGGCCTCCTCCAAACCGAATGCCCGCTGCTTCTGCAAATGTTTTGAAAAACTTTTCTCATTTAGAAAAAAAAAACTTCAAAAAGGATCATGTCATCTTTAATTCAGACCCAAAAACTGTCAGGCTGTCCAAGTTAAAAACAAAGCTGCCAAAACATTTAGTAAAATCTTCCATCAAGACCCAAAATATATAGACACACAATTGTCAAGATTTTCACCATTTGTGTAAAAAGACCTTCAAAGGATCTTATAAAATGCAAGATAAACAAAAGTCAGGATTGTAGGTTTTGGGTCATGATGCTTACATCAGCCTGTTTCCAGAAAAAGCACTGGAAACACTGCAGAGTTTCATTTTCAAAACCTGTTGCTGCTTCTTTTCATGTGTTCACCAGATCTGTCAGCTTCTGCACATCTTAGATGTATTCAAAAAGCAGACTGCAGCAGTCATCGTCATTATCAGTGTATCATCGGCGTTTCGTCACGTTCAGGAAGACGGCTGATGTGTGGTGGCTCTGCTTCAAACCCTTCTTTGTCTCAAAAAAGGCTGGTCTTGAATCGGTTCTGTTCTAAAGCAGGGTTGTCAAGTTGTGCTTCCTTGCTGCATCATGTCAAAATAGTGATTTACTGTGACTGTGCATCTTAAAGAGAAGCAGAAAAAAGAAAACAGGAGCAGCAATGGTTTGGATTAATATTTGTCTGGTGGGAAGTATTTTTTAAATTAACCGCTGCCCGGGCTAGACTTATGAGTCTGCTTTTGAGACTGGTGATTTAGGAATTGTAGATTTTTGGAAACATTTGCTCTTACATAAGCTCTTTATATTTTCTGTGGTGTGACGATACAAACTCTGGTTTGGCCTGCCAGGAGCGCAGGGGAGTGAAACCCCAAAGTTGTCAAACCAGGCAGGAGGCTGAAAACACAGGCCACATATCTATAATGATAGTTGGGTCTACTTTTTTAACCAGCACAAAATTTGTTAAGCAGAAGTTCTGACATTAAATATGCTGATATCAGTGGTTTTCTGATTTAYTGGAAATTCCAACAAAAGAACAAGAAATGAAGAAAGTTGTAGCTCTCAGTGATATATTTTAAGAGCAYTGACAGCATGTTTTTAACTTTGCACATGTGCTCTTTGACGATWATGGCATGTATCTCAAGAAAAAAAAGTGAATTAAGGCTCTGTTCATATGTATACAATTTGTTTTTCCTTAATCCAAAATTCAACTATTGATGGACCCTCCTCTCCAGAATCCCTGAACAGACCTTACCAGGGAGGCTCAGAAGTGTGATCCCTCTGTAGTTGGAACACACCCTGTCTGCCAATCCAGGGGAACTGCCCCCAATGTCCACACAATATATGTTTGGATCCGCCAGGTCTGACCGGCATCCCCCCCCCCCACCACCACCATCGGAGCCAACTCACCACCAGTMGTCAGTTGACAGCTCTGCCCCCTCTTCACCTGAGTGTTCAAGATCCCGGCGAGGGAACGCTAAGTCCAATGTTGATACTCATCATAAGAGGTCTTAGGGCTGCACTTTGTCTGATCCCTCAYCTAGGACCAGTTTGCCTTGGGTGACCCTACCGAGAGCATGAAGCCCCTGACAACATAGCTCCRAGGATCATTGGGACACACAAACCTCCATGAMAAGGTGGCAGCCCAGGGAGAAGGAAATCTGACATYAGAAGTAAAGGGACCAAGTATAGATCCATGTGGCACACCTTCTTCAACAGATTGTTTTAAAATCACAAAACAAAGACATTTGTATCTTTAATGATGATAAAACCATCTTGAGCCATTTTTAAATGTTAAAATCCAACAAAGCTAAAAATTAAAACTATTGTCCAAGTACATCATTAATTATAGTGTATTAGATTTCCTTCACAATTGTGCAGCTTTATTTAAACAAACCAAATCAAATACAAACAAGCAACTCCCAATCTAACATGTTTAGTTTTATAGAAATGTATCTAATATCCCTAAAAAACACATTTTCTGGATATTTTTAGCTAAATAAACAGGTAATTTGTTCCAGMTTGACAGAAAAACTATGACATATGATGCATCCACAAGTGTATTGATGATTATAGCATTAGCAAAAAATGGTTACATGTGATTGACATGGTAATAATATGTCATTAAAGTCATCACCTCTCATCAGAAGYAATTAATCAGGCAACAGGAGCCGTAATGAGATATGCTGTCGTTTGGCTGCATTATAGTGAATTCATAAATATATCAGCTTTTTGCCTTTAAGCTACTTTCTCATATTTTTTGCACCAAACACAATCAAAGAGCCCTCCAGATGCAAAGTAAAACCATCATTTCCAGCTCCACTCACCTCCAGAGGGGGTAAATGAACATCTTCTCAGTCTGGAGAGGATAAAACACTGTAATGATTTTCTGCCACAAGCAAATAAATATTCTATTATATCTTTTCTATGTCTTGCTGAGATGATGTTATGAGTGTTTAATAGAAATGATTTCATAGTCTAAACCAGACACCACCAGTATCCAGTCTTGGTGTTTTCTTTCTCCCTGCAGGTTGGCTGTAAGGTCTTGCACTTCTTCCACATGTACATGTTGGGTTGCAACTATTTCTGGATGCTCTGCGAGGGCATCTACCTCCACACGCTCATTGTGGTGGCTGTGTTTGCAGAGGAGCAGCATCTGCACTGGTACTACCTCCTGGGCTGGGGTGAGTGAATGGCTGTCTTTTTTTGAACCTTTTAGATAGTGTCAGCTGTTGTGCATCCCTAGTTTCATCCTGAGCTGTGAACTCCATCGCAGTCTGAAAACTCCCAGGAAGCATTCGAACGACGGGGAACAGAATCTAGGGATAAAATTACAACCTCCAGTTCTACACACACCACGCTGACAGCTTTATAGACCTTCCTGTGGCTTAGGGCTGCTCCTGACCTGGTGTCTGCAGCCACGTTTTGACTGAAAAACAAAATGAGCAATAAAARGTTTAAGGGATAATCAAAATTTAGCAAATTCAGAACCTATCTGTGTAACGTGCGTGGGTGTTTTTGTCTGTGTAAATGTGGTAAAGTCAATTTGTGAGACCCATCTGTGGCTGGTTTGTTGCAGAAGCTCACTGGGGTGTAAAAAAAATAGATTGTTGTGTTTTTCTGTCCAGAAAATAAGCAAAACTCTGAGCCCACAGGCCCCTCTGGGTGTTTCACAGGCAGCAAGCCAATTTAGACAGATCTGCTGAAAACAAATGTCRCTCTCTCATCCAACAACCAGCTACTCTTAGATATTAATACAGCAAGCAAAATTTAAAACCAATATACAAAACTGTTGCACGAATGACAAAAAAGAATTTCACCTCACATGGCCGCCTTTTCCTGTTTAAGGCTTTCCTCTGGTGCCTGTYTCCATCCACGCCGTGGCGAGGAAAAAGTACTTTGATGACAAGTGAGTAACGTTCCAGAAACTTGGCTAAATAAACAGGAGATGTTTACACATGTGCAGCCGATCCATACGCGCATGTGTTTCCTCGTGTGTGTTTTGGGCGGCGGACAGTATTGACTGATTCATTTTCCTTCTGTAGCTGTTGGATGAGTGTGGAGACCCATCTGCTCTACGCGGTTCACGGGCCCATCGTGGCGGCGCTTCTTGTGAGTCTGCAGACCTCGCTGTTTAAATATTTCACAAAAAGAAAGAAAGAAAGAAAGAAAGAAAAAAGAGAACAATCAGGATACTATGTGAAGCAAAAACGCATATTTTCTTCAAAACAAAACTCTCTACAGGTGAATCTCTTCTTCCTGCTGAATATTATTCGAGTGTTGGTCACCAAGCTGAGAGACACGCACCGAGCCGAGTCCAACATGTACATGAAGGCAGTGAGAGCCACGCTCATCCTGGTGCCCCTGCTGGGAATACAGTTTGTCATTTTCCCCTGGAGGCCAGAGAACCGGGTGGCGGGCGAGGTCTATGAGTACGTCATGCACATACTCATGCACTACCAGGTGGGTACTGAGCCACATTAATCTAAATTCCCCATAAATAGTAAAATACAGAGGAGTTCTGGTAAAAAAAACAAAAAAAACTCGCTCTTGTTTTTGCACTTGTGACTTCAGTAAACTTCTCATATTTAGCTTTGTGCAACGTGTTTTAGTGTTATACTCTACCTCCCATTTCACCTGAAATATGTGAACCAACCAATTCATTGACAGTTTTATACATTTTGCAATTTAAAAAAAATGTATATAAAAGCTGCTTTGAGTTCTTTTTTAAAGTAAGAAAAAAATGGGGGGGGGGGGTTATTGATGGGCCAGACAGAGGTCATCCACAGGCCACCCAGTATTGTATACAGTACCTCAAAGTGATACTTGAGTAAAAGTACAAGTATCTTATCATAAAAATACTTTGGTAAAAGTTAAAGTCTTCTCTAAAAATATTACTTGAGTAAAAGTACAAGTATCTTATCATAAAAATACTTTGGTAAAAGTTAAAGTCTTCTCTAAAAATATTACTTGAGTAAAAGTCTTAACACTTTAAGCCCACAAGATTTTAGAAGATTTCCTTCAGTTCTGTTGTCGGCCCTGCACCGGGCCCAACAGGGCTTAAAAGGTTTTAAAGTACCTGATATGTTTTGTACTTAAGTATCAAAAGTAAATTTCTTACACAAAATCTACTTAAGTATTAAAAGTAAAAGTATTGAGTAAAAGTGAGCAGTTAGATTTTCCAAAATGACATTTACTGGGAGGTAACTTCTCCAAAAAATATTTTTTTCTAACAGCGTGCAGCTGTGATGGGTTGTGTACAAGTTAATAGGGTGTCAGAATGGTATATATTTATACTTCTCATCCAACCACAATTAAAATCACTCTATCCAGGAGACACAATTTATCAGGATAGTTTTTTTTAAGTAATAACAACTCAGAATAAAATAGGAGTAACGACTTTCTACTTCTTACCTTTTTTAAAAATGTAGTGAGTAGAAAGTACAGATAACCATGTAAAAATGTAATGAGTAAAAGTAAAAGGTACGCTGAAAAATAATTACTCGAGTAAAGTACAGATAACCAAAATTTCTACTTAAGTACAGTAACAAAGTATTTGTACTTAGTTACTTTAACAACTCTACATTCGTCCCACTTGTTGCTCATCCATGTTTTAGCGTAAAACTTCAACAATAAATGATTTGGTCAACTCTGTCTGTTTGTTAGCAAAATATCTCATATCAAGAGGATTATCATGTTAGAGCAGACAAAATAAATRAGGACTTCCAGATTACTCAGCACACTTTTATTTTAAAAAAAGAAATGGCTGATGGGGCAGTAAAACTGTTCCAAACAGATTCAGGAACATGAAGCAGCAGACACTGAGCTAAAATTTGGTAGCTGAGAGTCATCCTCAACACATAGTCCGAACACTAACAGACTGAACAAAATGAAAGACAAACTTGTCTCAGGTTGAAACTGTGGTATGAAAGGTGGTGAGCGATATGATTCCTTCAAGGTTTTTATTTAATATGCATTRAGAGCACAGAGCTCTTGTTATGATTGATTAGTGCGATTTAGCTGTAAATTACTCTTCAAAAAGSTTTTAGACACATCATTAAACAGCTGACAGACATATTTTTWGTCATTTATCCACTTAARACATTGCAGGTTTATAAATTRATCTTCCACTTTAATGCCAAAATGTAAATCCCACACTGACATTGTGTTAATGGAAGAACTGCTTGTTTTTGTTCCCCCCAGGGTTTACTGGTAGCAACGATATTCTGCTTTTTCAACGGAGAGGTAAGAACAGTTCATGCATTTACATCTATGTATACATTAGATGATGTAACTCTTTGGAGAATTAGATGAAAAGGAGGATACCACTCCCAAAAATGTYATCCAGAAATAGAGCTAAGTGTTAAGCAGAGTTCAGGAGGAAGATCTGCACAAACAAAAGCAGGKATTTACCTGATTCACTCTGTTTAATCTTTAGATTTGTTCAAACGTAATGTTTTATTTCCTGCTTTAGAATAAATGAAATAGAAGCTGAAAACCTTCTTAAACAGGAAGTCAATATCTACTCACAAAGTTCAGCTGTTCCTTTAAGCATCTTCTCTCCGGTGCCATGTTTGACATAATATTGCTGTAGTTTGATAGAGCACTTGCCCTTTATTAAAGGTCAATCTGTGCATATTATCCTGGGACCTTTCCTGTCCTGGAGCAATAAAGCTGCTCACTGCTTGTGGCATTATGTTTGAGACATCAGACTCCATCAGGTAAAKCATGCCCAGATTTGATGTTTTTGTTTTGTTTCTTTGGTCAAATCTCTCCTTGCGGAGCCCAACAGGAAGCAAACGCAGACTCAGAAGTTCAGCTTTGCTGCTTCGGCTGTCAATAGTTCACTTGTGATGGGTTATGCGGCGTTCGTCTGGTTGACAGACAGGCTGCGGATGCAAGTAAAGCCGCAGGATCACGTCTGATGAGGAGTAAGACAAAGAGCGAAAATGACGGCGGGGTTGCCGGGCTTAGCTGGAAATTGACTCTCCTTCCACGTCCTTCTGTGAGCCTTTCTAAACCTGTCTGCAGCTGTCTGACTGCAAACATCTTTAACTGGATCCAAACTCTCCACCAAACCGCTTAGCTGGATTTTTTTAATGTAAGTCTTTTTTTCTGGGGTTAATGGAGGTTGTGGAGACTTTTTGACTCGTTTAGATGTTTTCAAATTGAAGGTCTTGACAAAAACTGCATGCTGTTAGCTCATGAGCAAACAGGAGCATCATCTGAAACGATGTGGTCATCTCAGAAC